CCCGGTTTGTGGATAAGTGCACAATACGTTGTGGGGTGTTGTTTTTTTTGTTGTTGTTTTATTTCATCCTTTAGACCTATGCATGGTATTTGGGAAAGTACAGATTAGGAATGGGGACCTTTTCAGCCTTCTCTGAGAAGAACGAGGGCTGGTTGGGTGTGTGATGCTCAGTATTGAATCTGATTTCAGGGGTTAACAATGGACACCCAGAAGGACGTCCAACCCCCCAAGCAGCAGCCAATGATATATATCTGTGGAGGTAAGAGTAGCACTTACATGAAGCAAGACGATTTTACTTCACTTTTTAAAAATTATTCTTTTCTCTTTGGCTTAAATGAGTCACTCGCCTTTAAAATTATACAGCAGAAACTTTAGACACCATGAAAATCCTCTCAAGATTTCATTGTCCCTCCCAGAAAAAGTGCTTGCCCAAACTCTTCTTCCCCCCTTAATATATTGGTAATAAGCCTTGGCTGGTGGCCAATGGTTAGAGCGTCGGCCTGGGCATCAAAGGGTCTTAGGGTTGGATTCCCAGAGCATCCATCTCTCTCTCTCTCTCTCTCTCTCTCTCCCTCTCTCCCTCTCTCCCCCCCCTCCCTCTCCCCCTTCTCTCTCCCTTCCAGTCTCTCTAAAAATCAGTGGAAAAATACCCTCAGGTGAGGATTAAAAAAAAAAATTGGTAATAACAACATAACCTTGAGATTGAGTATATTTTAGTGATTTGGGTGAAAAATATTGTTAATATTTGCTTGTCCGTAATGTTTTCCTTTTAGGTACTGAATTAATGTGTTTACTTTTCTAGAATGTCATGCAGAAAATGAAATAAAATCCAGGGATCCAATCAGATGCAGAGAATGTGGATACAGAATAATGTACAAGAAAAGGACTAAAAGATGTATCCTTTTAACTATGCTTTCTAAATAAGAGGTAGGAGGAAATTAAGAATAATGCTTGGGTTGATACTGAAAGACTAATTTCTGGTAAAAATGGTAATAACTTTTGGATTACTTACCCAAAAAAAGATACAGTCAGCATTTTCACGGACCAGTATGCCATTGTATAGTCACATATTATATAATCTTAATACTAGTTGATTTTGGTTCTCATAAGTCTAATTTTCAGGGATTCTGTGTTTAACTAAATACTCATGTGAGCTTGAGTTTATGGATAAACTAAATTATAGGAGAAATACAAATATTATGTATGCTACCACATGGAAAAAGTGAGCCTTCCAAATTAGTTGAAAGACTGAGAGGAAATTGTTGTGTAGTAAAAATATGTTTTTATTGATTTTAGAGAGAGGAAGGGAGAGGGATAGAGAGATAGAAACATTGAAGAGAGAGAAACATCGATTGGCTGCCTCCTGCATGACCCCCACTGGAGATCAAGCCCAAAACTGGGGCATGTGCCCTGACCGGGAATCGAACTGATGACCTCTTGGTTCATGGGTGGGTCAATGCTCAACCATGGAGCCACATGGGCTGGACTGCTTCAGTGTTTTTTTGGTGCATTGGTCTTTTGTATCATGGAAAGACAGCTATTAAAAAGAGTCATAATGATGAATTCTATACTTTTGGGCTTTTAGATTAAATTACAAACTAGCACATTGTAAAGAGAAAGTGACTTGGAAGTATTAAAGTCTTTTATATAACTTACTCTTTTTGTCCTTAACTCAGTTTTCTACAGTGGTGGTTTTTGATGCTCGATGAAACGGAATTCAGAAGAATATCTTTGTTTGCATTTGGATTTGCTGTTATTGTTGTATAGTTTTTGATGAGTATACTTATCTTTATGAAAATACAACTATCTAGTATATACACGATTTCATTTTTAAAACCATATTGTATTTAGGTATCTATTATAAAGAATTTTTTTTGTTCAGTTCCATGATTTGTAATTTAATTTTGTGTGTGTGTAATTTAATTTTGTTGTATATTTCATCTGACATGAAAAAGGTTAAAAGTGCTTCGCCAAACCACACTTTTAATCAAAACGGAGAGTCATTGGGACCCTTGTTAAAAATAAAGCTTTCTAGGGCTCTCTAGGTGTGATTAAGTTCGTTCCTTGGAAACCACTGTTTTATATTATCAATTGTTAGTAAGATCTCCAGCATCATTTTGTGTGGAGTATAACAGTACACTTACTCTCAGTGTACATACATCATGTGGAGTGACATTTTTCATTTGTTACTTGAAGTAGGCCTTTCTGTATTTCTATGTAATGCTTGACTGGTTTTTAAATCCTGGGCAAGGGAGAAGAAACCAATGGTTGCTTTCTGTAAGGGAAAAGCAACCCCACATACATACAGATGAAGACTATTAAGGCAGGTGTAATCATTCATTAAAGTAAAAAAATCTGCTTTCACGATATAAAAAAATAGGGGTTGGTTTACACTGAATTACTGGATAAATGTTTAAAACTTTTGTCTTGATTTTAGGGATATCGATAGTTTGATACTCCATGTGTTCCAAAATTATGATCATTATGGAACATCACATTGGTTTCCCTAACATTCATTTGAAGGTCTGAAATATTCCAAGTTCTATAAAATTTATTATGTACTATACAAAGTACCACCATGCTCATATTTTTAAAGAGTTCTTCCTTGATCCGGGTTTTCCTTTCCCCATGGCTTTCATAATTTGGTAATTGTGCTATATTCCTTCTTGACCTTGTCTTTTTTAGACAAGAGAGTCCCAACAAATAAGATATCTCTTTATGGAAAACCCCAACTCATTGGATAATGTTGCTCTTAACTGCTCTGATTCCATCATAGATCCCTTTCCTATCAGTAATTTAATTGAATATTGTTATTTGTTAACTAGACAGATGTTTAATGGAGAAAGTATTACCACGGGAACTCACCATTTCAGTCCGTTACTTCCCTCTTTGTGTCTTCATCTATAAAATGGAAGTGATTTTACCTCTTGCCTATCTGGACAGTTTTAAGGAAAAAAAATGATACAATAAATATAAAATTGCTTAAAAAAATTCTTTTGAATAGTGCTCTGTAAATATAAAAATCTGGGCTTGAAGTTCACACATCACTTGTTCCCTACTAAGCTGCTTACTTAGATAAGCATGTCCATGAGAAAGGCATGGAAATTGGTTCACATCCAGTCCTGCTACTCAGTGACTGGCCAGTTAATTTATTTCTTTTAACTTCAGCGTTATTGTCAAAGTGGAAGAGTTAATGATGGTCATCAGTACAGTACTTTGAGACTCTGAAGCTATTTTCAGAGATTTAAGGTATGACAAATTCAAAAATATGTGGAATCAGAAATGACCAATCCTAAGGAATAATAAATATCCCTTGTTAGCTGGCAGTATGATCTTACAGGGTTCACTTTCCTTGTTTGTATGATAGGCCTGACATTATAGCACCTACCTGCAAGATAAAAGAATCCATAAAAACTCAGCCTAATAATAGCCCACGTTAATTATTATTACCATTACTGTAATATTAACGTTTTCCACCACGATTGTTATTGGCCTTAGGATTAGTCTCCCAGCTACTGGTTTTGCTGTCCTCCAGGCTCTTCTGTTAATTATTATTATCCTTACTGTAATATTAACGTTTTCCATACACAATTGTTATTGGCCTTAGGATTAGTCTCTCCCAGCTACTGGTTTTGCTGTCCTCCAGGCTCTTCACATTGCTCTTTCAAGAATACGAATTTTATGATACCGTCCTGCTGGAAATCCTCAGTGGCTCCTCATTTTGCTAAAATAAAAAATGATTTGGAATACTGTGCTTAGTCCTTGATAATCTGACTCTTACCTCTGCCGCCACTTCAGCCCACCTCTCACTCTTTGGGTCTAAGATGTTTGCAGTTCCTTAAGCAGGTAAGAGAGAGGCCTTTTTTCTTTCTTGCCTGTCCTTTTCCCCAGGCTTTTCTCTCGGCCTGAAATGAACTTTTCTGGTGCTCTTCGCCAGCATCGAATTTTGAAGGATTGTTTTGTTGTCTTCTGGCTTCCAGTATTGAGAAGTCCCAAACCATGCTTGTTCTTAATCCTTTGTATGTGACCTTTTCTCTCTGTTAAGAATTTTTGCCAGTGTCCTGAAAAGCTTCCAGTATTGTTGAGAAGTCCCAAACCATGCTTGTTCTTAATCCTTCGTATGTGACCCATTTTCTCTCTGTTAAGAATTTTTGCCAGTGTCCTGAAATTTTACAGTATGTGCATTTGTATGGTTTTCTTCCACTGTTTTGCTCACTTGGGTACTTTCAATCTGGAAACCCAAACTCTTCAATTTGGGGACATTTTCTTGAATTATGTATCTCCTTGTTTCTTGAATGCATTGTCTTCTCTCAATGAAAACCATACTGGTCATTTTCATTGCCTCTGTAGTCTTTTTGCCTTCAGGTTGCTTTTTATCCTGCTTGTTCATTCAGTATAAATATATATGTACATAATTATAACCAGAAAAAAAATTATGAGTGAAAGAGCTGAAATTATAAAACAAAAAGAATTCCCCACAAATTATAAAAAAGAATTCCCCATAAATAAAAATTACTGTTTTATTTATCTGAATTGTATATCTTCTTCACTTTTGTAGCTAGCGCCTAGTACAGTGTCTGACTCATAACCAGCCCTCAGAAAATGTTAAATGCATGAAAAGAAAGAGGGAATCTTGTCATTTACTCTTCTGTATAAAGGGGAGGAAGTAAGTCTAGGTTGCAGTGTAGACATCCTGAACGTTTAATTATGTTTCTGTAATTCAGTAGGAGTAGATACCAATTTACCTTGCAGGTAGCACAACAATCCAAAGGAGCAATATTTTAACTCGATCCGAAAAGAATTGAAAAGGAGAGGAAGGGGAACTCACACCCCCACCCTCCCAATGGTCCTCTTTCCTGGTGAAGCTGGCTTCCGTAACGCCAATCAGCGAGCGGGGTCGGGGACTAGCCAATCACCCGGCAGAGGGCTAGTCCCCGCCCCTGGCGATCAGCCCGTTGCACTTGATGCTCAGGCGTTGCGACACGCCCCTCCCTGCAACCGCGGCGCAGCGGGTCAGGTTTGCTGGGCGCGGGGTTCTGAGAACCAGGTGAGTACCTGCCCTCCAGGAGTAAATCTCGTATCCCCATCGCAGTCCTTCCTCTGCGCCGGGGCGAAAGGCGGACGCGGAGGGGCAAATGCACTGTGGGCTAGAGAGTGAGGGGCGCGTTGTGGCTTGAACATCCTTCCTAGTCGGATGTTGGGGCGGGGTCGCAGCACGGGGGTTCCTGGTGACCAAAGCCTGGGAGTGGGAGCAAGTTCATAGGGTCCTAAAGTGCCCCCTGACCGTTGCCAGTTGGCGGTAAGAGCTTGCGGATCGGATCGCGGCCAGTCCCTCCGCCCTCTCGAGCTGCGTTGTACATAGAAACCGTTGCTATGGCTGGAGGTTGTCATTTCCTTTCGGCCTCAGGCAGCAGAGGGCGCTCGGCCCCGTGGATGCTCGAAAGGATGCTTAAGGGGGAAGAAAACAGGTTTTCGTGTTACTAGTTCATCGCAGGTTCCACTGGAGGTATTACGATAAGCTGAGTAGGAAACACAGGAAGTGGATGTGGATCAGGATGATGGAGAAAAAATTAAGGTTTTCCTAATCTGCAACAAAAATTCAAACAGGTGTGGAAGAGTTTTAAAGAGAGCAAATAAGCCCGCCGGTGTGGCTCAGTGGCTCAGCTCAGACCTATGAACCAGGAGGTCAGGGCACATGCCAGGTTGCGGGCTCGGCCCCCAGTAGAGGGAGTGCAGGAGCCAGCCGAACATCATTGAGGTTTCTATCACTCCCTCTCCCTTCTCTGAAATAAGTATTAAAAAAAAATTTTTTTTTAAAGAGAGCAAATAAAGTCTTGTACAAGTTGTATTTTAGAACTTGAGAATATTTTGTGATCTTAAGAATGTGTATCCTACCAACAGTGGTAGTTTTCAAAAAGAATTCTCAGAAATGTTAAAACTGTTCAGAATGAAATTTATTTGATTAGGTAAGAGATGTCTTATCATTTCAGATGTTTCTCACTATATTTTATTCAAATAATAAACTCTCAGGGGTTGCAAGATACCTTCCATTTAAGGTAATTTATTTTAATCCTATTAGATGTTTAAGCCTCTCCCATCAAAGATCCTCCAGCTCTTTGGTAAATTATCCTAAGACAAACCATTCTATGCTGGGCAACATCAATAATTTAAAAATTCTTTATGTTGCTTTCCTGTAACTTCCACCCTTAAAGTTATGTTGTGATGAGAGCCATTCATCATACTGGACCCTTCCGGTATGGTGCAAAAGCCATAATCTCATTTCTCAGCCGTATCTCATCCAAATGCTGACAAACTGTTATCTGTATTCTATTCCTAAGTTAAAGCCAGCAGGAAGATGGAGGTGAAGCTGACAGAGCATCCTCTTCTGCAGAGGTCCGATATATGACTAGACTCCCAGAGGGCAGGCATGCTGAAGGAAATACTTCAAATGAATTAGGCCCATTGCTGTTGCTTATTTTTAAATTTATCACCCAATATACTTTAGGGCAATAATTTTTTAAAAGTATTGCTTTTAGAGATGAAGGGAGAGGGATAGAGAGAAACATCAATGATGAAAGAGAATAATTGATCGGCTGCCTCCTGCACACCCCCCATTGGGGATCGAGCTTGCAACCTGGGCATGAGCCCCGACCAGAAATCGAACCCTGACCTCCTGGTTCCAGTGGGTGAAAGTGGGGGCCCAGGTGCATGGGGCCCAGAGGGCCTCTGGGTGTCCCTTAGCAGGGCTAAGCTGTGCCCCACTTTGTTTTCCAGGTGCTGGGAGTAGAGAGCGCCTTGAAAGGTCACCCTTTCATTAGTTTCTCCCATATATTTACTTTCTCCTGGAAGCTAAAACCCCTTCTCCTTTGTTTAATTACTTCTCCACAATTCATCACCCTTTTTTAAAATGGTATATAGGCTCCCACGCTAAACAGATTCTTTGGGTTTTCACTTTTTTGTGAAGCCCCCCTGTGCATATAAAATAAATGTTTCCTTCTGTTAATGTGTGTTCTATCAATTTAATTCACAGGGCCTCAGTTACTGAACTTAACTGGATAGAGGAAAGTATTTTTTTTACCTTTTATATAGCACCAAAACCTGCTTAGTCATTGAATTTCAGCATTACGTAAGTGGAGATAATCCATATATGGTACATAGTAATTTAGCTCCATGAATGTTAGCTGTCATTATCAGGGAAAGAGAATTTAAAATCAGTAGCCTTCCTCCTTTTCTCTAGAAATAAAACATAATTATTAAAGAAGCACCTAGATGGTTACTGCTATCCAAATTGAGTGATTATATATATATATATATATATATATATATATGATTCATAACTGTTTTCCTGTACTATATTTCAGCCATGACTGCCAAAGATTGCCCATCATTGTTGGGCTTTGGAACCACAAAAACATTCAAAATTCCCGTTGAACATTTGGATTTCAAGTACATTGAAAAATGTTCAGACGTTAAACATTTGGAAAAAATTCTTTGTGTGCTTAGGTAAGCATTTAAAAATCATTTCAGGTTTCGATTTGTCAGTTTTAATTATATTGTTCTTGCCTTCTAAAAGCTGAGGCTGCATTAGAAACGTTGGAAGACATTTTCAAGTATCGCTATTGTTTGTTTTTTTTCCCCATATTAGGTTCCACAATAGTGGTTTTGATCCTGTTGTTAGTTTGCAGTGGTCTGGCTGGGTGTACTTCCTCCGTGCACCGTAGGCTAATTTAAAGAGGGCCTTTTTCTTGCTTCCTTCACATTGTCTAGGAAAAGGTAACTGTGAGAGTCGCCAGGAGGATGTAGGGTAGCTCACCAGCCTACGCTGATAAGGTTATTTGGCCTCTCCCGCTTCATGCCATCTGGTGACTCTGTGAGCTGGTCACTTGGAGGATGGCGGGGAAGCCAGCCCGGAGGCCGGAACAGGAGGCAGGGAACCGGGCCCTTCTCTGGTTAAGAACCCCACGGTGGTGATTCTTAAACTTTCATATACATGTGGTTGTTAAAAATGCAAATTTGAGAGTCCCATTCCCAGAAATTCTACTTCGGGAAATCTGGGGTGGGGCCCAGGAATCTGTGTGTATTTTTTATTTGTTTTGTTTGGAATCTGTGTTTTTAACAAGTGCCTGGCTAATTGACATGCAGGTGATCAAGGGAACCCACTTCAAGAAACACTGTCCCGTGCCACATATTTCAGGTTTCTTGGGGGGGTTTCTCCTGGGGAGTAGCCTGATGTTGCAGAAGCACGTGTGGAGTGTGGCCTCCCTATGGTGGCATCTCTGCGGTGGCTCTCTTTTCTCCCCCGGACCCTTCATCTTACCACTGCGTCCTTCGCTTTTTCTCTCTCGTTACCTTTGGTGTCATGTCCTCCCTAGGCAGCCCTGCTTGTCCCCGGCCAGAGTTGATGTAACAACCTCATCATTTCTGAAATGGAAATAGGAGTCACGTCATTGCTTTCCCTTTTGTTTTTCTCAGCACTATAAGAACATATTCATGTATATTTGACCAAGGACTGATCAACAAAATGAGAAGTTTATGGGATGAAAGTGTTTGAAAGCCATAGTAATAATGTTGGTTCTAAGAAATTCTTTGAATAGCTTCATGAAATTATATTGCATTGACTTGGAATGATGGTTTTTAAATTTTACTTGAAGATGGAATATATTTCTATTTTTCTAAAAATGTAAAAGTGAACAGACTTACAGGAGAAGGGCAAAAATTGATTTTCTTTTTAATAATAATAATAATAATAATAAAGACAAACTAGAACAGATGTCTCCATTTAACCCTCTAAGAGAGGAAATCTGTTTCCTGGTTGTGTTTAGAGTCCTGTTGTTCTAAACTGTTCCTCTGCCATTTTCTTCCCATCCCTTTGGGGGGAGTGGGTGGGGGGTGGGGGGGAAATAAGCTAGGAGCTCCTCCTTGGAAAGGAAGTCCAGAGTCTCACTTTCTGCCTGCCTCTAATATTTAATCTCCAATTTTACATTTAAAATTACCTTATGTACAAAAGGAACCTATGTGTGTTAAAGAGGAGAGGAAATGTTATTCATTCACCTTGTAAAGTGTGTGATGGAAATGTGTGTCTTTGGAGCGCCTTCTTTTCTTCCGTTGCACCCCTGCACGGATGAACAGATAATAACGGAGGTTGCACTGGTTGAGGAAGGTGTGTGGGAGTGGCAGCCCCACATGCCACCGCCTGCGGGGCAGTCCTGAGATCTCCGCAGAGCTCCTGGGCTCCGTGGAACCCAGCCTGCAAACCGCTGGTCTAGCTGATCTCTGAACAAGGCGGTACCTCTAAAATTCTGTACTATTTTTTAAGGTCTGGAGAGGAAGGATATTATCCTGAACTTATAGAGTTTTGTGAAAAGCGCCTTCAAGGATTGGCTCCTCAAAGTAGAGCTTTGAGGAAAGACAAACCTGCAGCGACAGAATCCAGTTTCACAGCGAGAGAATGGGAAAAAATCGATGGCGATATAAAGGTATAGATCAACACCGGTTTTTGTGACATTGTCATGTTGTATATATGTCTACTTCACTTATCCAAAATTCTAGGTTTCTTTTTTGTCAGCCAAAGGCTTTTTTAAAAAATATATTTTTATTGATTTCATAGTGGAAGGGAGGAGGAGGAGAGAGAGAAATAGAAACATTGATGATGAGAGATAATCATAGCCCAGTTGACTCCTGCATGCCCCCCACTGGGAATCAAGCCCCCCAACCTGGGCATGTGCCTTGACTGGGAATCGAACCCTGACCTCCTGGGCCATAGGTCAACCCTCAACCACTGAGCCATGCTGGCTGGGTTCAGAATGCTATGTTTTTAAAAACTTTCATCAGCTTTCTCACTTTACCATTTTATTGACTTGAATTTGAAAATCTGGTTATTAATATAGCTACCACAGTGGTTAATGTTTAGAGTTCTTTGACTTTATTTTGGGGGGATAAAACCTCGTTTTTTAAAAATAGTTCATTGATTTTTAGAGAAAGAGGAAGGCATAGGGAGAGAGAGAGAGGGAGAAACATTGATGTGAGAGCATAACATTGATCAGCTACCTCTTGCATGCCTCAAACCCGAAACCTTTCGGTGCATAGGGTGACACCCAACCAACGGAGCCACATCGCCAGGGCAAAACCTTTTGATTTTAGTTGCAGAGCCTGCTTTTACCCTAACTGTGTATTCTTTCAGGTCACTTTTTTAGTTAGTCTCCTTCTCATCCCCCTTTCTTTCATGTCTTCCTTGCCACTTCTCCTGCATTCCCCATTCTCTCTCACTCCTTTCTCTCTTCTGCAATTCCTCCTCTCTCTTTCTTCCCTTTCTTCCCTTACTGTGTTTTTATTCTCCTGCTGCTTCTCCTGTTTGCCCCCTCCATCCTCCCTGCCTTCTATACAAATAGGACAGGTAACAGAGTTTATTTCTATATCCCAGTGCCTATTTTAAGGATGTCTAGCAAATATTACACCCTCACTATATATTTGATGAAAAATAAATAATAGAATTTCACAGATAATAAAGAAATATCCTACTCAGTTTTTTCCTGGCACCAGTGACAATTTATTTTATTTTTTTTCTTTTAATATATTTTATTGATTTCAGAGAGGAAGGAGAGAGATAGAAACATCAATGATAAGAGAGAATCATTGATTGGCTGCCTCCTGCACACCCCACTGGGGATCAAGCCTGCAACCTGGGCTTGTGCCCTGACCGGAATCAATCCGTGACCTCCAGGTTTCTGGGTCAATACTCAACCAGTGAGCCATGCCAGCCAGGTGACAATTCAGTTTAATGAACATTTTTGTGAACCTGTTATATGCCAGAGACTGTGCTATGTTCTGGAATCACAAAAATTAGATTAAGACATAGGCTCTGCCCTCAAGGAATTTACAGTGTGGTGAAAGGGATGAACACTAAATAGATTATTTTAAACCATTATGCTAATACATGGAGGAGGAACATTTTTAAACCAACCCGGAAGCTCAGAGAAAGCTTACTGGGAGAGATGGTCAATAAGATCTTGCAAGATAATGAAAAGTAGGAAGGCCAACAACAATATGAATTTACTTAATAATACTGAGCTGTACACTTAAAAATGATTAGTAGGGTAAATTTTATGATATGTGTATTTTCCCCAAATAAAAAAAGAGTAGGAAGGACATTCCAGGTAGAGAGAATGGCATGATCAAACTGTCACCTAAAAAACTGACTGATCCATGGGAAATTTTGATGACATATAGTCTTTTCTAATGCTTGGTTAATTACTTAAAATTGTATATTTGCCTTCATTTTTCTCCTTTTTTTCCCCCTCAGAATTGGGTAACAGAAATTAAAAAAGAAGAAAGTAAAATATATTTTCATGAAACTGAAACATTTCCAGCAAAGGAAGAAAATTTGCCTCCAGTTCGTGGTTCAAACAGCCATCTTCATGTTGCCAAAGTAGGCCTTTTGGTGCGGGGCGTGGTGGATAGGGGAAGAAGGTTGTGTATGAGGAGAGCTATCTCAGTTTTTTCAGTGCAGCCAAACGGTGATGTGTTCTAGGAGAGCAGGGATTTCTTTCAGCTGGTCATGTGCTATTACCTTCATGAGTAGACCATTGTTCATTAATTGATGAATCAAAATAAAACCGCCTTTTCTTTTGAAGACTTGCATCTTAGATTAATTGCCTTTCTTCATTTTTCTTTTGCTGTTCAGTCTCTTCTACTCTGACCAGTTTTTTGTGTTGTTGTTGTTTTTTTTTAACTTTATTTCAGGAGGAAGGTTGAGGGAGAGAGAGATAGAAACATCAATGACGAGAGAGGATCATTGATTGGCTGCCTCCCGCATACCCCGCACTGGGGATCGAGCCCACAACTGGGCAAGTGCCCTGACCAGTAATTGAACGGTGACCTTCTGGTTCATAGGTCGACACTCAACCACTGAGCTACTCCAGCTGGGCAAGGACTTATTTATTTATTTATTAATTATTTTTTGTTAACCCTCACCCAACGATATTTTTCCATTGATTTTTAGAGAGTGGAAGGAAGGGAGAGAGAAACGACACGTTTTTAATATTCTGTGTGATAAAATGGGAAGTATGCAGAAAGCATTTCACTGTGAAGTGAAAAATGATTGTTATCTCAAGAAAAGCACTTGTGTGATTGAATTGGCAGCTTCAGTTGCCATTTTTTTCTGGAATAAATTTTTCTCCAAAAATTTATGATTATTCAGACTTGGTTTTTTGGCAGACATCGTGTTGAAAATGAACTAAGTGGGCCTGTCACTTTAACCGACAGTGCTTTTTGCCAGTGATAATACCTGAGCTTTCAAGTACAATCTAGAGTAGACACAGTGATGGCGAACCTGTGACACGCGTGTCAGAGGTGACACGCAAACTCATTTTTTTGGTTGATTTTTCTTTGTTAAATGGCATTTAAATATATAAAATAAATATCAAAAATATAAATCTTTGTTTTACTATGGTTGCAAATATCAAAAAAATTTCTATATGTGACACAGCACCAGAGTTAAGTTAGGGTTTTTCAAAATGCTGACACGCCGAGCTCAAAAGGTTCGCCATCACTGATCTAGAGTATTTCATATTCTTACGTGGCTCTTGAATACCTGCTTGTGACAAAACAATTTCCCGTACTCAGACTTTTCTGATGAGCTCCATGAAGATATTAACAGATACGGTTTTTTATTGTATGATGAAATGTATGAATATTTGGAAGGTCTGCTTAACTCCACGTGACCAATGCACCATGTTACAAAACCGCTCAAAATGGTTTCAGATTATGACTAACTTCTAAGAAATAATTGAAGAAACGATTTGTGAGCATAATGGCTATTGTTTGCTTCTCTCCCACTCCCTCTGGTGCTTCCATTGGGCATGTGACCGAGGTTGGGCCACTTACTAGCACCAAGCTAGTGCTTGGTCAGGGATGGGCACATGACCCAAGCTAGGCAATCTGAACCCTTCCCTGGGATTTCTCTAAAGATGGAGAGCAGAGTCCTTTTCCTTTCTGATTGGGAGGCCTGTGAGGTTATAACCCAGGCTGCTTGTGGCCATGTTTCCTACTACATGGAGAAAGCAAGTAGCCAGCAGGGAAAACAAAATCAGTAGGCAGAGAGAAGCAGGGATGAGGAAGGGGTGGGGAGAGGGAGAACTGGAGCGAGATCATATGACTCTTTCATCCAGCAATATCCCTGCCCTGCCTTTCATCAATTTGGTTACATAAGCCAATAATGTATTCTTTTTAAATACAATTAGTCCAAGTTGGGTGTCTGTTATTGCAAACAAACCAGCTTTGAGTAATACAGCAAAATATTCTCCAATGCCTAGGTTTTAAAAGAATGAGTGATAGTTTATTACTTTTTTATTATAAGAAAATCACTAATAATCATTTCACATGTGATTTTTAAAAATTTTATGTATATGCTTAAAGTCCTATAGATTGCTCTGAGATTAACTACAATTTTTTAAAAAAAATTTTTTTATTGATTTCAGAGAGGAATGGAGAGGGAGAGAGAGATAGAAGCATCAATGATTAGAGAGAATCATTGATCAGCTGCTTCCTGCACACCCCTTACTGGGGATGAAGCCTGCAACCAGGCATGTGTCCTAACCTGGAATCCAACAGTGACCTCCTGTCCATAGGTTGACGCTCAGCCACTGAGCCATACCTGCTGGGCGAATTAGCTACAAATTTAAAATCCTTTGAAGCTTGATATATATTATTAATAATTTTAATACTGGAGTTGTTATAGCTTAAAGGGTACGTATTTTTCTTATTCATTCAGTTTTCTTATTAATCCAATTCTTCACATTGCATTTATAATAAAACCTGCTAATCTTATATTAAGTATGTCTCATAAAGTATGTTTTTATTCTTTTAGGGAAAATATTCTAAAAGTAGATCAGCTAAAAAGAATATTCCAAGGGATTATGCAGAGTGGGATAAGTATGTTTTACATTTTTTATGTAAAATTTGTCACTGAAAACTTCTCTACCACAAAATACTGTAATAAGTTCTTAATTATTATAAACCTGAACATCAAGAATAGCAAGGTACTTCAGTAGAGTACTCAGAGTATATAGTCTAAGCACTCTTGATCTTGTTTTTCATTAAATAAAAATCTCCTGCATCCTTTTGTTTATGAGAGCAACCACAAATAAATAATATAATCCTTATACCTATTCAAAATAAAAAAGAACAAAAATTTTAAATTGAGAGATTAAAAATGGCGGCAGAGTAAGTGGATGCTGCGGGGACATGCTCCCAGGAACAAACTGGAATTACAACTAAAATACAGAAAAACTTACTGAATAATCAACGGAAAACTCGCAGGAGAGAACTCTGATATCCGAGGAACGAAAGTGGAGACCTTATAGAGACTGATTTATTTTGTATATTATAAAAAAATAAAGAGTTAAAAAATATTTAAATTGAGAGAAATGTGTTACAATTTTAATTATAAAAATCTAAATAGTTTAGATCTGATTAATGTTTAAGTTCTCACTAAATTACATGGTTAATAAGAAAGAATACAGAAAACTTGTAATATAAGCTATTATGCATTTTTGGAATGTGTGTTTAAAGGCATGGTGATACAAATACAAGAATATCATTAGTATATTTTAATGTATTGTATTGTACTTTTTTTGTTTTTATTCTTTCTTTTAAGATTTGATGTGGAAAAGGAATGTTCAAAAATTGATGAAGATAGCAAAGAAAAAACTCTAATAAACAACAAGTCACATTTGTCTAAAATTGAGACAAGACTAGACACAGCAGGTAATTGGGGAAATATCAGAACAATTTAGTAGTCTTTAAGTTTTTAAAGTTATAATAAAAACTGTCAAACTAGAGGACATTTTCTCTTTTTTTAAGTGGTTGCCTCCCACACTGGGATCAAGCTTGCAGCCGAAGTACATGCCCTTGACTGGAATCGAACCTGTGACCCTTCAGTCCATGGGCCAGTGCTTTATCCACTGAGCCAAACCAGTTGGGCAAAGGTTTTCTCTTTAAATGCTACAGATTTTCATGACAAGTTTATGCATTTTCTCCTAAAGTTGACCACTTCTAACAAATTCAGATCTATCCTTTATTTAATTTTATATGATTAACAGTTATACTTCTTAAATTTTAGTAAGACTTAAAAATACAAACCTTTTTTTTTTTTTTTTACTCTCTAAGTTATTGGTCATATTTTTATTTTTTTTAAAGTATTACAAAGGGTATTACATATGTGTCCTTTTTTTCCCCGCCCTTGACAATCCCCTGCCCTCCCTTACCCCCCAGTGTCTTATGTCCATTAGTTATGCTTATATGCATGCATACAAGTCCTTCGGTTGATCTCTTACTCCCCTCCCTTCTGCCCCCCAACCCTCTCTGGCCTTCCCACTGCAGTTTGACAATCAGTTTGAGGCAGCTCTGCCTCTGTATCTATTATTGTTCAAAAGTTAATACAAACCATTTTTTACTGTAATTTGTTTTTCATTTCTTTTTTTTTTTAAATCCTCCTTTTCCTTCAAATCCCTCAAATTTATTTTCTTTTTGCTTCAAAACAAAATGATGGAACAGTTTATTTGTTTTCATTTGAAGTCCATAGGCGTATAGTACCTTTAAAGAGAAACAAAATCAGTCATAAAATATGTAAACCCTCAAAAATTGTGAATGATTAGAAAAAAGAAACATTACTAAATTTAGGAAATAATTTCTTTTCTTTTAATTATTTACAATTTTCAGCTTCTCTTAAAATAAGCATTCTTGGATTTAACATTTTGTAAATATTCTATTAAATTATACTTTTACTTAAAGCAGGTACCATTTGTTTCTAGGTCTGACTGAGAAGGAAAAGGATTTTCTTGCTACTCGTGAAAAGGAGAAAGGAAATGAAGCTTTCAAGTCGGGAGATTATGAAGAGGCTGTGAAATATTATACCAGGTGAGCAGATTTTTGTGTGGTTTAAACTTGCTATTTTAAAAAAAAATGGTAGCATTTAAATTTGATTATTGAAAGGATATAAATAAGCTAAATGGCCTATGTCAGACTCACTCAAGATATTGTATTTATCATAAATTCACTTCTGTTTCAGTATTATTTTGTCTTGGTTTCAGGTATAAAGCATAGTGGTTAGACAATCATGTACATTACAAAGTGTTCCCCCCAATATTTCCAGTACCCACCTGACACCCCACATAGTTATTGCGATGTCATTGCCTATAGTCCCTGTGCTGTGCTTTAAGTCCCCGTGACTTTTTTATAACAGCCCTAACCTTTTTCCCCAGCCCCCCAACGCCTTCCTCTCTGGCAACCACCAGTCCATCCTCTGTGTCTACGACTCTGCTTTAACTTAAGCTGCGTTTCTCTGTCTTCTTGTATTGACCACTGGTCTGCTTGTTGCCAATGAGCGTTTGTTTTATAGGAGCATATCCGTGCTTCCCACCGTAGCAGCCTATAATAATCGAGCTCAAGCAGAACTCAAACTACAGAACTGGAACAGTGCTTTTCAGGATTGTGAAAAGGTCTTGGAGTTAGAGCCTGGAAACGTAAAAGGTAAAACATATGCAAAGGGTGCTTTTAAATTTACAGCAGGATCCTTAAAGACTCTTTGTAGACACTCATTATGTTCACACTAAACATATGTCAAATAAACTCAAATTTCTTTATGGAATCATTACCTTCATAAAGTTACTTTTAATTTCAAGTTTAACTTGGAATTTAAGTCCCTGATTTTGCATTGAAGTAGCCGATAATTTCAGAAGATTCAATAAAATATATGTGTTTTTTAAAGAACTATCTCAAGCTTGCATTTAACTATGGGTTTTTTCTTTCCATTTTTTTTATTTTGTAAAATACATATAAAATTGACCATTTTAATCATTTTTAAGTATACAGTTCAATGGTATTGTTGTGCAGTCATCATTACCATCCATCTCTCTCTCTCTCTTTTTGTGCAGTCATTACCATCCATCTCTCTCTCTCTCTTTTTTTAAATTTTTATTTCAGAGAGAAAGGGAAAGGGAGAGAGAGGTAGAAGCATCAATAATGAGAGAGAATCTTTGATCGGCTGCCTCCTGCACACCCCTTACTGGGGATTCAGCCCGCAAACCCGGGATGTGCCCTGACCAGGATTCAAACCAGCAACCTCTTGGTGCATGGGACAATGCTCAATCCACTGAGCCACCAGCCGGGGCAAAATGATTTATATTTCCATAGTTCGTCCTCCCTCCCTCCCTCCCTCCCTCCCCTCCTTCCTTCTTTCCTTCATTCAGTCCTTCCTTCCTTCCTAAATTTGAATACATGATTTTCAAAGTTTTCAGAGAATGGTGAAATAATGCTAGTGGTGATTCTAAGGAGGCAAACATTGTTTAACGAGAAGCCTCCACTATGTCACACAGCACGGAATCTCTCAGCCCCTGGAGGAGCTGGCAGGGCCTGGGGCTGCCAGAGGGCCAGGTGGTTGGAGGGGACAGGTGCCTGGTGCAGCCTCTTGTTGACCTCAGTACCATTTTCTGTATGTGTGACAACATGAGAATGGGTGTCGTTAAGCTTTGCACAATTGCATCCTAAACCATTCTGTGCTACTTGTGTTCTTCCACTCAAAAAATTGTTAACTATAGCGCCATATGTTAAAACAGGCAACTTATTTTAGTAAAATTTCAGCTCTTCTGCGCCGTGCCACTACATATAAACATCAAAACAAGCTCCAGGACGCGATGGAGGATTTGCGCCAAGTGCTGGATGCTGAACCTGATAACGAGTTGGCCAAAGTAAGTACAGAAAGTGATTCCTCACAGAATTCCGTAGTTTGCTGCTTCTGTGTTTATGTGACATCAGTCTTGCTGGACACATGATGCTGAGGATTAGGTTACAGCTTTAAAAAGTAGGTACATCCCAGACACCCCCAAGGGGTTAACATCAATTTAAAGTGGAAGAAAGCAAGCTCTTCAATTGTTCAGAACTGTAAACCTACTTCTGAAGGACAAATACTCAATTTTTTTTTCTCTTTCCTGCAGTGCTGTAGGCAGTGGTTTTCTTTGAGCTAATTCCAATTTATTATGCAGGGCAGTGCCTACATTTCCTGGGCTTAGGGAAGAGCTCGATGGCCATAAAATTGTGCTTCTTTCTGTAACTTGCATGGAAAGCATGCGTCACTGACACAGACTGACTCAGATAGGCACTGGGCAGGTGTGTGTGTGTGTGTGTGGGGGAGACGGGGGTGTCTGTGGTAAGGCCTTGAAGAGTAGAGTAAGTGTTGAGAACTGTGAAGAGTCTGAGATTTTACCCTACTTGCAAATTAACAAGGTGGCCGAGAGGAATATGCAAGATTCCTGGGTCAGACACAAAGGACTTGGTTGCAGCATAGCAAGCTGATGAGCTGCAAGTCCATGTCAGTTCCCTGGCTCCCAAGTCTCATGGGGGCAGCACAGACACGCCCAGGGAGATGCTGCACACTCAGTGCATTCGTGTCCCAGCGGAGGCAGCCCCCACGTTTCATGGAACATAAGCACATCTGCCCAACTAGCGTGAGAGGGAGACATTATCTTCATTTTCCCAGAGAGCAAACAAACCTGCTCTTTCCTCTGGAGAGAGATACTCTCTTTCCCAAGGCAGTTCACGGAGAGATACTCTATTTTCCAAGGCATACATCCTTAAAAAGATAGTCTGACGTCGTTTCGTTTCTCTGCTCACAATGTATTCAGAAATGAGACGCTTATGGAGCACTGTATTCCAACAAGCAGTTCCAGTTTTCCTCATACGCCTGCTGGGTATCTATCTCTGAATGGCAGCTAAAGTCCCTAGAAGAGCATCAGCTGCATTTGTCAAGCCAGCATTTCAGTGAATTCACTGTAAGGCCCAGTTTAGGAACACATCTTTTCCCCATAGTATTTCCTTTTCTTAACGGTATGTTTAATATATATGCACATGAACATATCTAGGAAGATGATCATCAGAATACCCAGTGTTACCTAAGTGGCAGATAATTTTTTCTGCCTTTTTTATACTTGTTAATGCTTTAGGTTTCTTACAACAACCATTTGTGTCTATAATCAGACAAAGCAACAAAGTTGTTTGAAAAAGAAAAACAATAGACCACCATGAAAAGCCTTATGTTAATTATCATTGTTCCCTTTTTAATAGCTTCATATTCTTGCCTGAAAGAATAGTTTTATTTTTTATTAAAGGAAAACATCTTTTTTTTTTTTTTAATATGGTGATTATGTTGCAGAAAACCCTGTCAGAGGTTGAAAGAGAGCTGAAAAATTCTGCGCCTGCATCTAAAACTCACACCAAGGGGAAAAGGATGGTTATTCAGGAAGTAGAAAACTCAGAAGATGAAAATGGAAAAGAAAGCGAAAGAAAACATGAAGACGGCAGTAGAGATAAGAGTAAAACATTTTTTCTCTTTTGGTTATGTAAAATACTGCTTTTTTATATGACGAGTTAGTCTATCAAACTTTTTATAGCTTTACCTTGTAAATCCACAAGCAGGTTTTTCCTTAATCTTTTTCTTAATATAGCTCATTTTTCTTTTTCCTTTATTTTTTTATATATATTTTTTAAAAATTGATTTCAGAGAGGAACAGTGAGGGAGAGAGAGATTGAAAGAGCAATGATGAGAGAGAATCATTGATTGGCTGCCTTCTGCATGCCCCCTATTGGGGATTGAGCTCGCAACCGGGGCATGTTCCCTTGACCAGAATTGAGCCTGGGACACTTCAGTCCGTAGGCCGATGCTCTATCCACTGAGCCAAACTGACTAGGGCTCATCTTTTTCTTAATATAATCTCCCAAACTCATTTTTCATCTTAACCTGACATTGTTTTCTAATGCTCAATTTAATTCCTGATTATCTTTTTTTAAAAATTGATTTCAGAGAGGAAGGGAGAGGGAGAGAGAGATAGAAACATCAATGATGAGAAAGAATCATTGATCAGCTGCCCTCTTCTGGGGATCAAGCCTACAACCCGGCCATGTGCCCTGACTGGGAATTGAGCCATGATCTCCTGGTTCGTAGGTCGATGTTCAACCACTGAGCCACACTGGCCAGGCTATCATCTTTTAAAATATATATATATATTCATTAATTTGTAAAAGAGAAGGTAAGGAAGAGGGAGAGATAGAAACATAAATAATGAGAGAGAATCATAATTTGGCTGCCTCCTGCATGTCCCTTACTGGGGATCAAACCTGAAACCTGGGCATGTGCCCTGACCAGGAATCATTTATCATCCATGGCCCCAAATTATTTTGTAGATTATGGAATACATAAAAATATGTAAGATTCAGAAAACAAAAGTTTCTTGATAAGAAGAATATAAATTTTAAGACCAGTTAGTTCCCTTTTATCAGGAAAGCAAATCAAGATTAAGTGGAATAGTCCTAGCCGGTTTGGCTCAGTGGCTAGACCGTCAGCCTGCAGACCGAAGGGTCCCCGGGTTGGATTCTGGACAGGGCATATGCCCGGGTTTTGGGCTCGATCTCCAGTAGGGGGCGTGCAGGAGGCAGCTGATTAATGACTCTCTCTCATCATTGATGTCTCTCTCCCCTTCCCTTCTTCTCTGAAATCAATAAAAGTATATTAAAAAAAAAAGATTAGGTGGAATAAAAAGTTGGAAGCCATTTTAAAGTCATCCTTTTAAAACGAAATAAAATGATTGGAACTATTTTATGCTTACTTCTACCAAGTTTTATTGTTAGATGGCTTGTAAAAAGAGATCTTGGAGCCTTGGACAAGACAGGAGAAATTCAAGTCACTATTAGGAAAATAATGTTAAAGTCCGGAGGAGATTATCGCGTTGGAATCTTTGCGGGTGGTTTCCCATTCCACCACATTCCAAGAAAGAATTGTTAGTCATTATGTGGCAGGCGGCGGGAACAGCAGCGGGTGTCTGACCAGGGGGGTCAGACCAACCTGAGTTCAGCAGCCTCGGTACTTGGGTTCTGGCTAGAAAAAAATTCAGAGCCAAGAGAACATTTATTTGAGAACATTTATTTGTTAAATCACAGAGGTAGAGAAAGTAATTCCTAGAAGAGATGGGCTTAGGAAGGCAAGTTATGGAGGCAAAGGAAGGGCCCTTGGAGCCTGGGGCAGGGAGGAGGAAGGAAAAGGGAAGGCACCTGTATGCTCTCTGGAGGGAGAGCGCACTGGGTCCTCCATCCTAAGGGTTTTAGGGTGGAGCCTTTAGGGAAGGTCCCAGGGGAAGGTTTGAATAGAGTGGTCAGCAGCTTTCCAGGTGTGTCCTTCAAGGTTGTGGTCTCCACTGATTGATTGTGGCACTAGGGCAGGGGGTCTTTATTCAAAGCAGCTGGTTTTGTTGCTTCTCTGGGCCAGGAGCTGAAATACAACTGAGGCCTAGATGTTATCTCTAGGGGGGAAAGGTCAGGGGTTCCAAACCATTGGTAGCTTGGGGAGGGAAGTCACCTTGGGGGCGAGGTCCCACCCTACCATTGATTGTCTGTTGCCAGGCACCTGGGGCTTTCCACTCTGGTGACCTTCTGACCTGGCCCAGGGTCCTTGCCCTACTCATGTCCAACTGCCCACCATAGATAATACCGCATTTTCTTTATCCATTCATCAGGTGGTGGACACTTGGGTTGCTTCCACTTTTTGGCTATTAATAATGCTGCTGTGAATATTCAGGTTTATGTGTGTGGACATGTTTGTGATTTTCTTGGGTATCGGAGTGAAATGCTTGAGTTATATTGTAACTCTGTGTTTAACTTCTTGAGGAACTGCCAGACTGTTTTCAAAAGTGGCTATAGCATTTTATATTCCCAGTGGCCATGTCTGAGGATTCCAATTTCTCTACATTTTTGCAAACACTTGCTATTGTGAAGTGGTAATTCCTCATGGTTTCAATTTGCATTTCTCTAATAACTTATTGTGTTAACCACTTTTTCATGTGTTCATAAGCCATTTGTATATCTTTTTGGGTAAATGTTATTCAAGTCCGTTTGCCATTTTACAGTTAGATTACTTGCCTTTTTATTGTTGCACTAGAGGCCCAGTGCATGAAATCTGTGCATGGGTGGGATCCCTAGGCCTGGCTAGCAATCAGGGCCTATTGGGGCCAAGCCGGCCAGGGCCTGCCAGCTGCCGGCCAGGACCTTGGGACCTGCTGGCTGCCGGACAGGGCCAGAGGGATGGGGGAGGGACGGGGAGAGGTTGGCTGGCTGTGGGAGGTTGACTGTGGGAGCGCACTGACCACCAGGGGGCAGCTCCTGTGTTGAGTGTCTGCCCCCTTGTGGTCAGTGCACATCATAGTGACTGGTGGACCGGTCGTTCTGATCATTCAATCGTAATGGTTGCTTAGGCTTGTATATATATATAGATTATAAGTCTTTACATATTTAGATAATAGACCCTTATCAGATAATAATTTGCATATTATTTCTTCTATCCAGTGGGTGGTCTTTTTACTTTCTCGATTACATCTTTTGCTGCACAAAAGTTTTACATTTTGATGAAGTCCAATATCTTTTTCTTTTGTGCTTGAGCCTTTCGTATCATATATAAAATCATTGTTAAATCCAAGGTCATGTAGATTTATCCCTATGTTTTTTTTCTAAGAGTTTTATGATTTAGCTCATATTTTGGACATTGATTTATTTTGATTAATTGTGGTAGGGAGGAGTCCAACTTAGCCTTAGCTTTTTTTTTTTAACATGTGGAAATTCAGTTTTCCCAACATCACTTTTTAGAGACTATTCTTGACACTTTTGTCAAAAAGCAATTGGCCATAGATGTATGGGCTTATTACGGGACCCTCAGTTCTGTTCCATTGGTCTATATGCTAGTACCACTCTGGATTGTTTTTGTTGTTAATCCTCACCCAACGATATTTTTTCCAGTGATTTTTTTTATAGAGAGTGGCAAGGAGGGATGGAACGGGGAGGAGAGAGAGAAAAAATAACACATCGATGTGAAAGAGACCCATTGATTGCCTCCCTCACTCACCAAGGATGGAATCTGCAACCCTTCTGTGCCCAGGCTGATGCTCTAACCACTGAGAAATACTGGCCAGGGCAGTACCAATGTTTTGATTACTGTAGTTTTTAGTAAGTTTTGAAATCAGAAGTATGAGTCCTGCCTGGCTGGTGTGCCTCAGCGGTTGACCCAGGAACCAAGAGGTCACTGGTTCTATTCCTGGTCAGGGCACAAGCCTGGGTTGCAGGCTTGATTCCCAGTAGGAGGCAGCCAATCGATGATGTTCCTCTCTCTCATCGATGTTTCTCTCTCTCTATCCCTCTCCCTTCCTCTCTCTAAAAATCAATAAAAACATATTTTTTAGACAAAGAAGTATGAGTCCTTTGATTTTGTTCTTTTTCAAGATTATTTTGGCTACTTTGGAATTCCATATTAAATTGAAGATCAGTTTTTCTATTTCTGCAAAAAAGTCTATGGAATTTTGATAGGGATTATGTTGAATCTGTAATTCACTTTGGCTAGTATTGATATCTTAACAACATGAAATCTCCCTATCTATGATCAAGAAATATCTTTCCAGCCCTAGCTGGTTTGGCTCAGTGGATAGAATGTCAGTCTGTGGACTGAAGGGTCCAGGGTTTGATTCTGGTCAAGGGCACATGCCTGGGTTGCGAGCTCAATCCCCAGTAGGGGCGTGCAGGAGGCAGCTAATCAATGATTCTCTCTCATCATTGGTGTTTCTATCTCTTTCACCCTCTCCCTTCCTCTCTGAGTTCAATAAAAATATATTTTTAAAAAAAGAAAATAAATATCTTTTCACCCTAGCCCGTTTGGCTCAGTGAATTGAGCATTGGCCCATGGATTGAAGGGTCTTGGGTTCAATTGTGGTTAAGGGCATGTACCTCGATTACATGCTCAATCCCCGGGCCTGTTCCAATCGATGTGTCTCTCTCACATCATGTTTCTCTCTGTCTCTCCCCCTCCCTTTCACTCTCTCTAAAAAAAGTAAATGGAAAATATCCTTGAGTGAGGATTAAGAACAACAACAACAAAAGATGTTTTTTAAAAAAGAACTATCTTTCCACTTAATTAATTTCTACTGTTGAACTACTCTTCTATTCCTGAGATAAATCCCACTGATTGTGGCATATAATCCTTTTAATATGCTATTGGATTTGGTTTGCTTGGATTTTGTTGAGGATTTTTGCATCTACCAATTACCCGAACTACCCTCTAAGGCTACTGAAATCCTGGTGGTCTTTAGTTCTGTTGGTTCTCTTAAGTCCTTGTGCAAATGACACTGTTGGCCATTACTTCCTTGGATATTTATTGCTGACTCCTTTCTCCCTGAAATACTCATTCTTCTTGGTATGCCCTCCTGGCTTTTTTTTTTCTCATTTTTAGGCACTCCTCCATCTCCATTGTAGATTTTTCCTGTGACCATCTTTTAAGAATTGATCTGAATGACTCAGTCCACATTCAAACTTCAGTGATTCTTTATATGCCAGCAACTCCCAAGTCAATGTCTCTAGATAAGGCCACTCCTCTGGTCCACATTCGGAGTCACCTCCTGAGCAAGTCTTCTGGAATGTCCTACAGGTAGTGCAGTACCTAACAGGACTCACAGGACTTTCATGTTCTGGCCTCTGTTTACCTTTACAGAGGCTGGCCAGGTTGTTCAGGGACATTCCATCTTAAGGAAAGAGGTACGGCAGGGCATTCAGTTCAATTCATTTGAATCCCAGTTACGCTGGGACTTTTCGCTCTCTGTGCTTGAGCAAATGCCTTAGCTACTTTCTTGTGTCTCTTATTTGTAAAGCGGGGATGATATTACTTGGTCTGAAAATTAACGATAATGTATGTGAAGGCCTTGGCCCATATAAAGTTCTAAATAAACTGCAGCTATTTAGTAATAGTATTGGTCAGACATGGGAGGATAGCATACCAGGGAATGGACAATCGTACTAAGCTGTCCATTGTTACTGCTGACAGTTGTTTCTGTTCTGTCTGGGTGGGGACTTCAGCAGCAGATATCAGCTACAGATGGGAGCCTTGCTTTCATAATCCTACTGTTACGGGGGAGAGGGAGAGACCTCGGTTCTTGCCTTCTTGAGGGAAAGATTTCAATCAAGAGACGAAGTGCAGAAAAGCAAGCAAGAGTGTATTGACCTCAGCAAAAATATACTTAGGAGTGTGAAACAAAGAAGGGCATAGAAGCAGCAACAGGAGAGCGTAGGCTGGGCCACCTTAGCTCACTGGGAAGTCAGAGGAAAGGGGAGCCTTGGAGACAGGTTCAGGGGGTGAGCCCCAGATGAGCTGCTGCTGCCCATTGCCCCCCTGGTTGCTAGTCTCATGGAGTCCCTTAGAGGTTAGGGGATATGTGCATACATGCGGGAGGTGGTGGGGGGAGCGGAAGGGGAAGGGAATGGCAGGGGCATGCTCCCTGGGAGAGTGCACTGGCATCTTCATTTTCAGGGGTTTTATTTTATTTTTAAGTATTCATTTTCCTTTCAGAGAGGAAGGGAGAGGGAGAGAGAGAAACATCAAGGATAAGAGATAATCACTGATCAGCTGCCTCCTGCACACCCCACACTGGGGATCGAGCCCGCAACCCAGGCACGTGCCCTGACGGGGAATCAGACCTTGACCTCCGGGTTCCTGGGTTGACTGACGCTCAACCACTGAGCCACGCCTGCCTGGCGCAAACCATTTACTCTTAAGTGTCCTTGGTTTATGGGAAATAGGGTTTACTAGGCTGCTGCAAACTGCTGTTTAACTCTGTTTCAGTTCCCCTATTTTGGAATTTTCCTAGTTTCTTACTATTCTATAACATGACTGGGTCCAATCTAGGGTTTAGCACTATTATACGATTTTTTTCAATCATTGTAATGGAAAACTCTCTTTTTAAAAAACAAATTGTTGGTTGATTTTAGAGAGGGGAAGAGAGAGAGAGGACATGAATTTGTTTCAGCTATTCATGCATTCATTGTATATGCCCTGACGGGATGAATCCACCTCTAACCAACTGGGCTACCCCGCCAGGGCCCAAAACTTACCGTCTTTTAAAGACTCACTTTAAAACCAAGGTGCTTATTTGATGTGATTTCTTTGCTAAGTTCGCTTTAAAGTGACTTACAAATCTCTTGGGCTTTATTTTTCGGTCAAGTGATCTTTATCTCCTAGTTCTTTAACATAGGAGAGGTACCCTAGCTTTGGGTTCAATTATTGTATCCAACTTTTAGTAACTGCATTCGCTCGAAAATCGTACCTGGAAGAAAAGCGCCTGTTTTGTAAGATCTACCTTTGCCTGTGGGCTCTGATGAAGGGAATGACTCTGAAATGTCGGTTTGCAAGTCAGAAGCCCTTCCGTGTTTAAAGAGTTAAATACGGGCTTAGCTGCTGTCCACAGCCCGGAGAGCCCCGGGGGCTGGGGCGC